GACATACGGAAATGCTCCCTTAAGTATGGACCAGCAGCTTTTTTGATGATTTCTTCCGCGTAGAAGTGTTGATCCATTATACCTGCGGGTTTAAATAATATGTTTAGCATATTGTAACAATTTATTTAGCATAGCCTACTTTGCATGCATTGCTTTCAAAACTTCATCACTCACCGTCAAAAATGACCAACGGACCAGGTCCCCATCGAGAAATTCCACCCCAAACATGCATTTTGACCGGGTGCTTCACTCTTGGTTTTGCAATGCCCCTGAAGTTGGTCTTTCTCCAGCACTTCAAGGCAAAACGTTCCAGTGCCACAGTTGACTCGTCAGTGAAGAGAACATCATCAAACTTCTCACCAGCAGCCTTCCATTCTTGAGCTTGGATCACACGCAAATCTTTGTTTTTTCCTCTGGTCATTGGAACGAATCTGTAAGCAGAATTTATCAAAATGTTACTATAAGAATGACATGTTGAGTGCCCGGTTATCACGATAAGTAATTAACAAAGAGACGCGTGTTACCTGGGCTTCCCAAAGTTCCAGCCAAGAGTCCGGACTGCCTTTCTCACCGAGTGTAACCCGATGGTTATGTTGTGCCGGCTTTGGAGAAGCTCTTTTACTTTTCTTGCTGGTAGTTCATCGTCTGCTCTCAGGATGGAGTCTATTATTTCCATCACCTGACTGAAAGAGACACATTGTTTCAGTACATAGTTTGGTAAAGCCTGTTGTTATTTTGTTCACATGTGAAACTTACAAACTTGAGTATATATTTAAATAATAAAAAGTACATTTACCTTGTCAATTCATGTGGCTTGCGTTCCTTCTTCTTCTCCACAACAGCACATCGGCAATGACGCTGGATAGTTCGCAAGGAAGCTGTTATTCCAGTTGTGGCCAAGTGTTTGGCGATAGCGCTAGTCGTCCAGCCTTTCTTACGCAGACTCTTGATGAGCTCACTGACTTGTGCGTTGATCACAGCCATCGCTGACATCTAGTGTAAATATACATTACCATCGGTCGAACTATTTATCTTGATTTTTACACACACCTCCCTCCCCCTACCGCCCACTCCCTGTGTTTTTTTCCCCGGCCCCGTCCCAATCACGAGATAAGATGTTTTGCATATGTGAGGAAGAACTGGATTTTCGACATTCCTGTGGTCAATCTACACTGTAAGAAATGATTCTGTGGTCATGTAGATTTGAATTAATGTATCAGGTAAAATATATTCAATATAATTGTGTTTTTGATTTTCAAGCAAACATTTAATTACATTTCATATAAAAATGTTCTGAATAAAATCCACCCATATTATTTAAATACATATTAAGCAATATGTTTATCTAATTCCAAACAGACAGAATATTGAGTGAATTCAAATTAATATAATCAGACAAATTTGAATGGGAAAGCACTTCCAGGTCAAAGTGCACATTATATTTTTGTAACTGACGCTGCAGGCTATCATCGCGCCACAAGACATTTGAAGAGAGTTGCAGACTTTGATTGATCTGGACTACTAAGGTAAGGTAAGGAAAACGTATTCTATGATGGGCTAGTGAGAAGAAAGCATGTAGTGGTAAATGACAATGAGGCGAGCTATAATAGAACAAGAGACTCAGTAGCAACAGAAAGTTGGCTTCTGTTGGAAAGGCTATTTGATGTATTAGCGTGATGTTGCTGCCCAAAATATGAAAAAGGCATTGCACATTTTTAAAGAATTTATGGTTCGAAGACAAACAATTATTTTGAAGGAGCATTTCCGCTATGGTGTTCCCTACGTTTCAGCGTTCCCTGCATGCCTCGCGTGTTGATATCGCCAGTATGGCACAAGCCGTGTGCGCAGTTTGTGGAAAAACAGACCACCCGAAACTGTAAAGTTCGAGTATTTGTGAAAGAAGAAAAGTGCACGTGGCTCGTCTGTTCAGTACGAAGTCGTTATGTGTGGCTTTTTAGCGCGGGTTAGCGGCAGTTGCTCGGGGGGGTTTCTGAGTAGATTAAGCACGTTTTGAATGTCTAACACAGCGTGTCTTTCCCGCGCGTACCTGTCTCGCTGCAGAGGGGAAACAGGGCAGTGGCAGAGCGCGGGGAAGGGTCGACACCATGCGCTCTCGTGCAGGGTAGCGGGGATGAACAGATCCGATGCAACGAACGCATCCATGAGAGCGGAGAGAGACTTATTAAAAATTATTATTTGAGCGCGTGTGATTAGTGCAGCAATACAGCGGCCCTGTTTAGAAGACCGTTAGAGCTTATCGGTCCAGGTGGAGCGGCACACCCCTCATGACAATGAAAGAACAATTTGAGACCAAGGCCCATGGGAAAATAAAATGTAATAAAATAGATGTAAAAGCTATGAAAACAATAATGAATGTAGTGTCTACTATTTTTGTTCTGACAGTTTTTTATAATAAGACACTTACAATTTCATGTTGCAGGACACTGAGAACTTGGAGGAACTCCAACAGCAGCTCATAATGACTATCACTGTGACCTCAACGCCTGGAGCTTCTGCAAACGACAGGCCCAAGAACGTTGGAATTGTCATAGAGGGTGTGGAAGTCATCACAGGACTTGGAGATATTGCAAGGGCTTGCTCTGTCCTCCTTGGCTTGACCTATGTGTTGAATCTCAGTTATCCCACACAGCTGAAGTACACATTTGAGGTATTCCAAAAACTTTTCTTGGAACTGGATGATTCAAAGTTGTCAAACAAAGTCCAGTCCCTCAAGAGCAAACTTCTGGCTTGAAATGAGACTGTAGTTGCAACATAAACTTTTGTTCTACACAATGTTCACCTTCTACAGAGCTTGAGAAATGCATATTTGGAAGTGCTATGTTTGTGAGTTTGCACTGATTTGGACTTTGTCCCACAAAGGTCAATTACATTTCAAATGTTATTTCAAAGAACATTTATTTATTTTTATTTTTTATTTCTACCGTGTACAAATGGCACTTTAGTAATTTATGTAAAGTAAAGTTCTGGTTTGAAATGTGTGAGCAGACTTCTAGTTGGAACATGAGACTACAGAGCTAGGAAAATGCACATTTCAAAGTGCTATGTTTGTGAGTTTGCACTGATTTGGTTACGTTTCATAGGTCAAAGAACAAATGTTTTTTTTCCTACTTTGTACAAATTGCACTTTTATGATTTTATGTTTTGGCACATGCATACTGCTTCTACTGGCTGCTGCTTGAGATGCCTCGGATAACCGAGGCATCTCAAGCAGGTTGTTAATTGTTAATAAAATGCTAATTTGAGTATTAATTGAGTTCTGTACTTTATGGGCAATGTACTAGTTATTCTTAAATGTATTTAGATTTAATTCATTGCATTGATTGAATTCAAATCAATGCACAGATTAGTAATACATTATTATTACTCAATTATATACAATTGATAGGTAGAATTTAATTAATTTTTATTAGTACTATTTGCACATTATAGGGAGTTCATATTCTTCAAATTAACTCAATATTTTTGTTTAGTTTTAATTAATTCTGCTCTCTCTTCCTATTTGAATCTACTCATATTAAATAGATAAATTTTAAGTGTCTTATTTAATTAGTATTTACTCAATTCTAAGCAATGTAAAATCTAACTAAAACAATTGCTTGTAATCTGTTGCCTCATTTTTATTGAGTAGATATGGTGTATTTTTTCTTACAGTGTAGACATTTAGGCAATAATGTGTGTATAAAAATAACAATATTTAAATTATGACTTTTAATAAAAAAGGCTAATGACTTTAGAGGTGAAGAACAAATTTGAGTAGGCCAAGAAAAAAACTGGCCTACGCGGGCCTATCCCTGGCGCCGCGGCTGCTTCAAATATACATCTATCTTTTATTTCAGTCATTGTGAAAAAAAGGAATATTTGACATAATATAAATAAAAGTGGTGTGTTCATCTTTGATTGCTGTCCGCCTCGGTTTATGGACCAGATATCAAGTCCTAGAAAAAGAAAGAACAAATACATTAATACATTTCAGACTTTTCTTCTTTTGAATCTCAACACTACCTGTCTATTGTATATTCAACACTATTGCAGGAGTTGAACTTCTGACAGCAGATACAAGGTTACAATCGTTAGAGGAAAGGTAAACATGCATGAATTTTAACATTTGACGAATACTGTTTTTTGTAATGAATGTAAATTGTCTTATTGGGAAGCAGCAAATCAATGGAGCGGAAGGAAGAGGCTTTGAATGAGAAACAAGCCAACAATCTGGAAAACAGTGTGTACGTCATTCTCAATGTAATTCAATGTGTATGTGTTGTTTCATAATTTACATATTGGGCTGTTCTTTTTTAAGAATGGGGCCCCATCAACACCTGCTGATGGGCCATGGGGTGTGGACGTGAGTGGTCCCTTTGATACAGAGTGCCTCTCGTAACTACAACAATAGAGCCATTGTTGCTGCTAGCGATGGCGACAATTACAATAACACGCGTATGTTTCGAAGACTCTACACGCTCAACAACTAACTAGTTACTATTGCGATTGCAATGTACATACATTTAAAAGGGAAAATGTTCGTACGGTGGTGTAGTTCAGAAAAAGCCCCGTTTTTTAAACAAACCGCTGTTGTATATGCTTGCTGTGTGGTGCGTTAAAAACGAGGTGTTGAGGCCGCTTGGCCAATCCAACCATATCTCAAATTACATTATTTACACATATAGTAACTATAACTAATTACTTTTTCAAAGTAACGTGCCCAACACTGCATGCGGGAATAATCAATACTTTCACCTGCCGTGTCTCGCATTGCGCACACCGGAGAGAGCGAGAGAGTGTGTGTGTCTGTGGGGGGAGGGGGGAATATGGCCCATACTGTACCTGTGTATATATCACGTGGACTATAGAGCACTGGCTGGGGGGGCACAAGCATCTTGGGGGACGGGCACGGCCCCCTATGGCCCGCCCATAGCGACGGTATGAGTATATATAGACATGTCCTTAACAGAGGTCCTACTGTACTCCAGTATTTCGGGAGCATGGAAGCCAAAGGTTTTTACCACGAACGCGCTTCCAGAGTCGCCAAGACTCTCTTCCCACGGAACGAAAACTCACCTCAAGCCGAGGTGAAACAACGGGTACGTTGTTAAATGTAATGTTGAATATGAATGTTATTAGGCCCTAGGAGTATGTAATATTAAACAATGCTACAGCCTCTAATGTCTTTGGCAATGTTTCTTCCAGACTCCAGGCAAACGTTCGCCAGCATCATCTTTGCGGCAATGCAAAACAGCAAAGCGTCTCGTCACAAAAAAAGCGGTAAGTGTAATCCTGTATTATGTGTAGTGTATAATGGCCAATAAGCCAGGCATCCTCGCTTAACTAAGCCACGACTCATGACTTTTCTCAATTTCAATACAGGCAGCGGTTTCCATGTCGCTGGTGCGTGACAATAAGGACCGCTGGATGGCAGACATTGAACAGCGTCTAGCCGTGAGGACAGCGGAGCTTACTGCGGAACGAGCTCGAGTAGGTCAGCTGCTTGCTGAGAATGAAAAATTGCACGCTGACCTGTCAGCCAGCAGAGCGGAGACCGACAACCTCCAACAACAGTTGCAGGGCCTGAGAGAGACCACTCAGAGCGGACTCCTCGTTCAAGATTTGAGAGCTGGCTTAGGGCAGCTGCAATCGGCGCTACTTTTGGCTCATTCGACACCAGTCAGACCAAACACCACTCACTCTACACCTGCCAGACCAATCCCCAGAAGCGCCTCAACACCAGAACCAGATATAGAGTGGTCAGAATTTCAGATGTCGCCATTGGCCCTGCCTTGTTCTTTCAACGAGAGCCTCGAAATTCCCCGTCAACGCCCAGATGTGAGCTTGCGTCATTTTGGCCCAGAAGACCATAGTCGAATCCACCAACAAAGCTTCGGCCAAGTTGGCAGATATGGATGCCTGCTCTTCAGACACATTATCTCGGAGGAGAACTACCAGACATGGACCAAAACTACAAATTGGGATGGATCCAGAGGCAAATTACAACTGCCTCAAAATGTGAAGAGTTTTGTGCTTGGCACACTGAAGACACATTTTCCTGGCATGGACAGGGCAGAACTGAAAGAATGTGTGGACAAAATCAACGAATTTCTGCGTACAACACGCAGGAATCCCAAAGCGTTGACTCTGTAAAACACTGTACAAACACTTGGAAGTACTGTAACAATACAGTTATTACTTTATTATTTTTACTTACTCCTTATTTTGTAATAAAAAAAACACTTCTCAAACTTCTTGTCAATTCAGTTCTCAAGAGTCCTCACATTTTCAAAAGTACTGGTCATTGCATACACACTCAAAAAAATGATTAATTGGACTAACTCAATTTAATTGATGGTAGAAGTTACAACCAAAAAATATAGTTAAAAAAAAAAAAATGATGCCATATGTAGCGCGAGCGGTGGGCGAACTATAAAGTGGTAAATTTAAAACCAACAACGCCACCCAGGTCTAGGACCTGGGAAATATAATTAACTTAAATAGAGCACACAGCCCCCAACCCTCGCTGATCCCCCGCCAGTCTCAGCGATTAAACCCGCTGGACACCACTTCATGTGCGCAAATTCCACACTTGTGACGGATTAAACATAACCACCTAAGTACAGTCACAACAAGCCAGTCCTCCATACATGTAGTTAGATGCCCCCGTGTTCGCGTTTCAGCCCGGCAGTCACGTTAACAGGAGGGGAGATACCACGTCGCGGGGATGGCTTGGCATCTGTGTGTCTTGCTCCGAAATAGCTGAGAGTCAAAGTAACAAAGGATAATGTAAGTGGGCGCGCAAGAGTGCCGAGGTAAAATATAAACTTTTAAGAGTTAGCTAAAGATATCACGCGCTCATCAGATTGGTCCCGTCGCCGTAACAACGTGTTAAGAAAGAGACGTAAACAACATGAATCTAATTTATATATATGAAACCCTGGCTGCTTGCGCCCTGTGCTGCTTGTGTAATCTTTGTAAAGCAATACTTACCGAAAAATTGCAGATGATAATGGATGACAAAATGAGACGTTGTCCTCACGTGGAGCTTGCTAAGCAAAAAAAAAATATCCCAGCATTCCAAAAAAATACAGCATAGTAATGTTAAATTTAGATAATTACAAAGTGAATTAACAGTATGATAAAGTTTTTTTGTAATTACATCGTAATTGTGGTAAAAATACACCACTAGATGTATTTTAACCAAACTATGATTAAATTAACATGTTACACTTGTATTTCAAAATAACATTTGTCTAATGTTGAAATGTTGGCGTAAATTTACAGAAATTTGTTACAGTGTATAAAATATTGAATGTTGTTTAACAGAGACATCAAACCGTTTATAGCAGTCATTGAGCTCAAATGTCTCTGTAGCAGGTATGTATCAGTTATTTGTGTAGCACAATTCATACACAAGGAAACTCAAAGTGCTGAGCAAAAGAAAGCATTAATATAAATAATCACAGTACATTAACAAAGATAAATATAAATTCCCTCAGTTGTAGCACAGCTAAAGTGAGACAGGCCTCTTCTCTGACAAGGTTTAAAACCAGGTTAAAAACAGTTCTGTTTAGCTGTGCATACAACTGAGGTATTTTATATTTATCTTTTTTAATGTACTGTGATTATTTATTTTAATGCTTTCTTATTTTGCTCAGCAAATATAAAGCCCTTAAATATTTATTTAGCATTTGATTTGATTACTTGTTAAATTGTGTTTGGAGACTATAATATATTTTAATAACGTTAGTAATTTTGTCCCAGTCATTGCAGCGTCAATCAAAATCATCTAACACAGCTCACATCATGCGCAGCGACAAAGCGTGTCCTGCTGTTGTTTGCTAAAACTAAAGGTGTTTGGAGGCTACAAATAAATAATACCTGCTTTAAAATGAAACGTGGTAAATATCCACAACAGAAAATCGCGGGTTAGCAGGGCATTTATGATGGGGGTCGCGGGCTAAAAACTTTGGGAACCCCTGGTCTAACCTACTGGAGACAAATGCATGGATAAAAATCTCCAGGTCTGCTTTAGACACTATGTTTTTGATCCTGGCAATGTTTAGAGTGTGGAGTTAAAATAAATGAATTACAGCTTGCTAAATTATTTGAAAGCATCTTCATTATGATTGTTATATTTATGTATTTATTATAAATGTTAGAGATGCCAGAGAAAAGGCGTCTGCTTTTTTTCTGAGTGGGAGGAGACACCAGGGAGCTGTTTGAGTCAGATAACGTTCAGCGTTATATTACCAATAGTTTCTCTTTCCATAACGATATTCTCTCTTTTTGGAAAGATCACCAACGTGATGCAAAAGTTTACGTTATATGCAGTAGTTTTAATGTCTAAGGGTTATTCCAGAGACTGGCCTGCTACAAGGTGTCGATGTGCGCGGGGCAGAAACTCGCCAATGTAACCCTGCTCACAAGTGCCACCTGGTGGTTGTTTTGGTCATTGCAGCATCACTGGGAGGGGGGAAAATAAAAGACGCGTGAATCACACGAGACTCACGTGTGATTCACGCGTGAAAGGCGACAAAACGGAATGGGACCTACTGTAGATGTCATCCAAGTGTTGCAGAAAATGCAGAAAGGTATTTCAAATTGGCAAAAAAGACGGCACTTGAATAACTTTGAATAACCATATTTGCGCCCTGTTTATTCCCGACGCCATTACTGCTGTGTCGTCATAACCCTGTCTAGAAAACATCCATATTCCTTGAATAAATGGTAAATAGAGTGGAAGAGTTAGTTTCTCACTTGCGACTGGTTATAAAACACTCTTCTAACACCTCTGTTGGTCAAATGGCACAGGACGAGTGAGAACTGTGCCGAGTAAGCCACAAAAGGGTTACATGTATTTTGATCTTATCTCCCATCTCTTCAGCAACAGCAGAAAAGAGAATGTTCTGTGTCTTTCCTGAAAACCCAGTAAACACCCAGTAAGTGGACAGGTGGTGAAGTTAGTTAGTTAGTTAGATAGATAGATACAGTAGATAGATAGATGATAGATAGATACATAGATTCTAAAAGTAGATAACAATAGTCATAAAAGGCAACAGTAATAATGCAAGTCTGTTCAGTAAGAAAAGAAAGAAGTTCCAGATAATTCCACATAGGGACTGGGTGCTACTGTTTCCCCTGAAGGATTTTTTTGTTTGCCCAAAGACATGAAAGAAAACACCAATTTTTTCAATACCTCCCAATGTCTTTTTGTTGTTGAGTTCTGTCTTCCTGTGGGCCTGTTGAGATACACATTTGCTTGAGTCTCCCCAAACGTTGCGTAGCTACCTTGGTTAAATGTATTTTGGACGCTTTTAGGACCCCTCCACTCTAGGTTTATCTCGGCCCTCTACGTCTTTCACTCAAACGACTAGATCCACCTTTCATGTTGATCACTTGCTGAGTGCTTGATTTCCAGAGTTAATTAGATATTTTTCCATTCTCTCCACAGACGACGGAAGCGGGATGCAGAACACACTGGTGCATCAAAGCCCTTAACCAACACCATCAATTATCTCACGCGTTACCTATAGTACATATTATATGTGGTAGGGGAAACTGGAGCATAGAGCAGACATGGGAGAACATGCAAACTCCAAGGAGAAAAGTCCTGGAGGTAGACTTGAACCCAGGACCTTCTTACTGCAAAACACAAACCCTCCTCTGCGCCACCGTGCCACCAAATATGCTTTCGGGGGTAATGCACTTGATTTCTATCTCTGAAACATGCCTTGCTGTCAATTCCCATGTTGTTCCAAATGTTCTCTATATTTCAGATATTTTCAGTTATTTCTCACTTGAAGTCATTTTTCAGTAGAGAATTGTGAACGGCACAGTTGTCCTGTAGAAAAATAGACTCATTACCACATAAGGGCTCTCAGTCACCCCCGCAGAACCTCAAGCACCAGTTCCATTGAGGAAAAAAACCCTTCAGGTCATGGTGGTCTGTGCCGAAAATATCTAAAAAGGGAACTCCTTGTCTTGCAATTAACTGTAACAGTAATATCTGACAGGTATCGTGACACAGGCAATATATTATATAGAGACAATATGTGATGCGATCTGGGAAAACCTGTCGGATGTCACAAGTGTTTTTCCAATCACATACAAGTTTTTTATTTTAGAAGGCCCCGCCTTCTGAAATCCACCCGCTATGGCTCAGATCCAGACCTATGTGACCCAGCGATCTACAAGGGTTTGGCGAGAGTCAGGCTATATGTTAGGTGCATTGAAGAAAACAAAGCCTTTGAATATATTATCTCCTCGTCTGCTGACCACCCGACTGCAATCAGCTCAAATAAATCTTCATTTGTATGTCCTACTACACGGTTGTTCTTTTTATTCAACCAATACTATTAGATTTTGCTCCTGAGTAAAATTTAAATCACATCTTGCCGACACTGCAGCTTGATAAACTCAGTGGTAATAAGCCTCCCTGCTGCCTCCAGGACATAAACATCACAGAAAGGGCCTTAAGTGAGAGCTGGGCTGCGGACTCGGGCAGATAAAGCAAGAGCAAATGAAAAGAGAGGGGCCCTGGCTGATGCTAAACGCTCCATAAACGCCCCACTGCTGCCGCTAAAGTCGGCAGTGATTATAAGACGAAGGCAGAACGAGGCGCGGGCCAAAAAGAGGAGTCCTGCAGAATTAAGGTCAGATTCAAACGGGGGTAACAGGACTGAGCAGCAGGAGCAGAGGGGGAGGCGGTGGAGGACTACGAGGACTGGGAGCAGAGCGGCTAGAGTTGAAGTTTGTTTAAAAGAAAAGGTTTGAATGAAAGGATCCTGAAAATCTTTTACTAAAACTGTTTAAGTAAGATTAAGTAAGTAATCTTTATTTATACAGCGCCTTTCGCAGACCAGAGTCACAAAGTGCTTTACAATTGTTGTGGGCATTTGTCACTCACTCCACACGGAGATGCCAAGACCTAACGTACATGGATTTAGTGAAAGGGAAACTGGAGCACCCAGAGGAAACCTACGCAGGCACGAGGTTAACATACAAGCTCCACTCAGA